CATATGTCAACCATTCTCAATTCTTAGTTACACGTGTATAGCTAAGGCTTAATTCTCACGTTGATTCTAACTTACATAAATCATCTTCAAGGAACTCATGCAAAGATTGAAGTACCCACCACATAATGCCAAAGACACAAAGAATAAGGCTTGTTATATGTGGCTCTCACGCTTAGTGTCAAAATCATTATTTTTCATTGTGGTTATAACATTTAACAAGAATCACTCCTGTAACACTCTTCAAATTCAATGTATAAACAACTTCACTCCATAGTTGCAATCCTTCACTTGTCAAAACCCATCGTGGGTAGCCCGCTCTGTGATGCCTAATTGCTTTTTAAGATCAACGGCTTCCCCTATAAACCAATAAGAGAGTTTTAGTGCGATTGATCATCACTTAAACACTTTATGAGAAAATTTTAGAAGGTCACCCATCCCTAGGTCACTTCAATTCAAGCAAATTTAATTAACTATGGATTTAAGTGATGAACTATTGAAAAATAGATGCATCTTATTAGTATATGTAATATTAATTAAATTCTTTTAAGTTATGCTCAACTGTACAGTACAACACATGTTTAGGTTTTGGATCCCTGATGATCAATCATTACAAGAAATGTTACATACAATGACATATAAAAAGTGTCACTATAGGTACAAAATATGTAGGTATAAATCTATTTTTTATATAGCTACACACAATTTTAGTGTTGATTTTGAACGAGATTTAATAACATTATTATGTATTACTATAACCTATACTTACATTTTTTTAAACAATATATCAACATATATTGTATTTACAATATAACTAAAAGTAGTTTTTAGTGACAAGTATTGTCTCACTATATTTTTTTTTTTTATAGTAAATGAGATTCATAGTGAATCCTTTAACATCAATTTGACACAAAAAGATCATTGAAAATTTGGGGAAAAAAAATAAAACAGAATAGTGGAATTAGGTAAGAAATATGAAGAACAAAATCACAATCCCTAATGATTGATAAGTTAAGGAGGATTCATTACAAAAGATTTAATTCTTTGATAAGAATCTAGAGTTTTTCTTAAGAATCTAAGATAGAACAACACTTTCACAAGCCAAAAGCTCTTTCTTTACTAAAATGAATGTTCTTTTTTACAAAAGTCAACATTGAACTATTTATATATTGGACTTTTAAACTAATAATGCTTAATCCAAACTAAAGTCCAAGTGGTGCCTCCTCCAAGGACCACTCTTAGAAACTACAATTGCCTCATTACAAGCTGAATTACAAAAACAAAAAAGTACAATGAAAGAAAATCCTAATATAATATCACCAATAGTATATCTCTATCATTTCATCTCATTCCAATGTGTCCAAGATCTTATGAGTCTATCAGCTTCCACTTGGTTTGTCCTTGAACTACACTATATTAAGATAGAAGACCTACTTTGGTAACATTTGTAATGTCCTTGAGTTTTGATGTTCAATGACTATAATTCATGACTTTTCACTCAGTGATATTTTATTCAACTTCTCGTTGGTCAAAATTTTTCACTAGTCATAACTCATTGTGGGTAGTTCCTTTTTAGATGTCTAACCATTTTTTAGAATCAATGATTATCCACACAAACCAATATTAGACTTTTGAGCATATTTATCCCCATTCATAATTTCTGATAAACTTTTAGAAGGTTTATCTTTAAACTAGGTTGTTGTTGAAATCTTCGATAAAATGTTAAGAATGATTGACCTATAGTTATACATGATCAATTTTGCAAATCGAGCATCAACGAGAAGAAACAAACCAACAACAATCCTCCACGAAACAAGAGATCTTTGCTGCATGGAATTGGACACCACACATACAAAAAATAATTATATATATGTATGTTAATATTTTATATTTAATTAAATTAGTATCATATTATATTTAATCAAAAACCACTAATATTACAATTTGATTTAATAATTTACCACTAATTATCTAATTAATTAATCAATTATTAATAAGTTATTTATAATACTCCATCTGTCCCACAATGACTGTAGTTTTAGCATTTGAAAAATATCTAAAAAATGAATGATGTTTTTCACTTTTCAATCTTTTAGTTTTTCAAATTTAAAGTAAATTTGCTGCATAAATGTTTCAATCTATCACTTTTAAACATGTTATTAGTGACATAAGAGACTAATAATTTTTTTTAAAAAAAATTATAGAAATTAAAAATAACTTTTAAATTTGAGGGATTAAAAATAATATCATCCTAAAATTGAGGGATTAAAAAAATATTTAAGTCTATTAATAATTTTCCTACTTTTAAGATAATGCATTTATTAAAATAATGTGTTATTTTAATAAAATTGTATCAAAAAGTAGTATGTTACTGCATTTATTGTTATCCTTAATCTCTATGTAAAAATCTTAAATTACAATCATTGTAGAATCCTATGTTATTATAAGCAAAATTGATTGATTTTACGATATTAAAAAAGTTAGTTATTTGTATTAAATTCTCATAAAATTTTTTTTAAATTATTTTTGTTATAAATATTAAAAGAAATAATACAACTAAAAAATCATACATTAAAAAAAAGGAAAAATCATATATTATATCAAATGAAATAAAAGTAGTTAATTGTTTTTTACATTTAAAAACAAGAAGAAAAAAAGATTTTCTTCGTATAATAGGGAACATAGGAAGTAATTAATAAATTAAACATAAAACAAAATGAAAAAAATGAAAAAAAACACAATCAGACATGTACGGAATAAAAACGAACGATAAGTTTTCTTAGAAGAAAAAGTAATAGTGGTATTCGGTGAAATATTATTTTTTATGTATTTTTTAAATAAAAAATGTATTATAAATTAAAGTTATATGTATTAATAATAATTTAACAAGTACTTTATTTTAATTATTTAATCAATATACTCTCAATATTAATTAATATTTATTAATGTAAATCTCGTTAAAAGTCAATGATATAAATATTAGAAAGTTTAAATATGTTTTTCATGGTTGAATTTTGGAATAATTTTATTTTTATTTTTATTTTTTAAAATTTAAAATTAATCTTTTAACTTTTATGATTTAAAAAAATATTTTAAAGTTCTAATTATAAACAATAAATTGGGATTTTTTTTTGTCTTAATTATACAATCATTAATTTTTAAAGTTATTTAAAGATAAAATTTTCATATACTCTTGTCAATTCTATTTCTTTTGTATTTATTTATGAATAACATTAAATATAACAACTACTTGAAAAAAATAATATACTTAGAATAAAATTTAAATTTATGATATGATTAATTAAAAATAATCATATTAATTATCTTTATTGACCTTGATGATTAATTTGTTCTATATTAATTACAATTAAGAATGAATGTAATATTATTTAAGTCTGTTAATATTACTAATAGCATAATTAAGATAATCAATTGAGACAATTATGCAGCAAAGTTGAGTTTAATGTAACTTCTTTTTATTAACAATGATTCTAGTAAGGATTTTGTGTGACAAATTTAATAATAGAGAGTACTTGCTAACAAATTTACTAATAATATTTGAACATAAAAGTTAAAATAAGATTTTTTAAATTATAAAACTAAAAAAATTTAAAATTAAGAACTAAAAATAAATTAGAAACTATAAATATATTTAAACCTATATCATTTTTAATTAAAAAATCAATCTTAATTTCTTATAATATTTACATTTATTTATAAAAAAAATTAATAATAATTCTTTAAGTGCAATTAATTAAAATTTTATCCCAGTTTTATAAACTCATATTTAATTAGTTTTTTTATTAATATATATTTACATATATTATTAAAATAAAATTTAATTCTATGAAAGATGATCATGTATACTTAAATATTATTCATTATTTATTTAGAAGAATAGGATTATGCGGTGAGACATGCACATCGTAAAGGGCTCGTACCGTCATTAATTAACTATAATGAAAAGTGTACTTGGCTCGTGCATACTCATAATTGGGGTACCCCACTTTAGGGGACAGTGTTTATCAATGTGGCATTC